CTACTTCAGTGGCAGCAATTCTACCGTCTGCATGTGAGGATAGACTTTCAATGAATGTTGCTGCTTTTAAAACACTTGTACGAGCACAACGGTACCCATAACCAAACATGGGGAGCGGAATTCGCTTAATTCCAGAAACATCCAGGGAAAATGATTAAATATACCTCATCCACTCAGAATTATTGCTACTCGGTTTAACTAAGCACGAAATCATGAGCATATTAATATTAATATTAGCGCCTACCTTGTATGGTGAAGAAACTTTGTTGTTTTGAGTATCCACTGGAGTAGCTGGAAAAAAATTATAAATGATAGGAGAATACTTAGCAACACACCGTGTAACGAACAGTCCACAGTAGAACTGGACTTCAGCGGCGCTACGATAAAGGAACAAATCCCAGAGTAATAACAATTGTACCTGATGTGTTAGAGCTCTCGTCTTTGACAACTTCGGATGAGACACCCAACACCTTACTTTGATAGAGTGACGCAGAAATACGACAAAGTAACTCGGCTTCAAAACCGCCAACCTTGACTAGGGAGCCTTCGTCCACACTGTTAAGGAACGAAAGTTTGTTTCCAGATCCTGAGGATATTCTGAATCACATTGGATTAACAAAGATGAAACAAACAGGACATACGTTTTGCCAGATTCCGATATCAGCTTGACACTTCGGCCGGAAATAACGATGAAACCTAGAAATGACTTAGATAATAGAAACTATCATAACATACCATCTCCCTCCCATTTTTTGTGCTACAAGACAAGGCATAAGAACATGTGTAGTTCACGACTGACCTTTTTTGCAGACATTTTCGCATAAACAGCTTCATAGTAAGTAACTGCTGACTGATTCGAAACTGATGGGCTTTGAGCTTCATGCTGAAGATAGCTGGAAACAAACTGACGTGGTTCGGGACAAGACGTAGTGGTATCTGCAATCGTTCGTGGACGTTTTTCCGTTTGTTTGTTAACAGCCTGACTGGGAGCAGCAGAGCGTCTCATGCCGGAAAATATCTTCACCAAAACAGGAAAATCCGATGTGTAACAGTAGACGTATGAAATAAAGGAACTTTATTTCAATCGCACAATTAAATGAAGTTTAGTCAGAAACATGTGTGGGACAGTAATTGATGTTCTAAGAGCTAGGATTCAGCACTGGAGTTGATGGTTTCCCCATGCAATTTCAGCTCAAGTTTTTACAGCCAGTAACCATGCACTTTCGTGCGCCGGTTTTGGTTGCTGTCTTTTGTTCGCCCAATTGGATAGAAGAGCAGAATGAAGATTAGAATGTTGCGAGTAAATTCAAGCAAAAGATAGCGAATTTATATAGACCGCAGTGGCAAGAATATTGAATAGATGCACGAGCGCCACTGTTTGCGAGACTCAACCATATCATTCAGAGTCGCTAACCATCGGTAACCATGATCTCAAGAGCTGTGTTGGTCCGGTCATAACGTCACCAAATTATCACCCCGGGGATGTGTTCGAATTCCACCACCACCGCCTGACTTTCTTCAGTGTATGTTAAATGGTACCCCTTTGATTAACCGCTTCCCCTTCCTGAGAAATGTATCCTTGTATATTCCATAAAAGGAAGTAAAATGAAAAAAACATCCAGGGAATCCTAACGGGAGCTATGTGACCCAGTGTCCTGGTAAGCATTTTCATACCTCATGCCAGGTATTACTTTGACCACCCTTGACCTTTTTCCATTCACTTTCCGCCTCAACAAGCATCGCTCGCTGTGGCAACCTATCTGGTGACATTCGAAGCACATGTCCCAACCAGTGTAATCTATGGAGGTCGATCACTTGCTCTAGTGGACGACCGCGACTGCCTAAAACTCTACGCCTAACCTCAGCATTGCTTGTCCGGTTACCCCACCAGACACGTGCAATGCTACGTAGACAGCGGTGTTTGAACACCGAAAATCTATTTTTATCCTGCTCCCGTAGTGGCCAAGTCTCGGCACCGTAGAGCAGGACTGACCGAACTGCTGCAGCATACACTCGACCCTTCACAGACAGCCGGGTGTCGCGACGGCGCCACAAATGTCTCAAGTTGGTAAATGCCAATCGAGCCTTTTGTATGCGCGCCGACACTTCATCTGTGATGCGTCCGCCGGCTGATATATAGCTACCCAGATAGCAAAATTTGTCTACTTCCTCTACTACTTCCCCAGTTAGGGTAAGACTGGGTGCTGGATCAACCCAATCTTGTAATAGCATTTTACACTTTGAAGGTGCAAAACGCATACCGAACATGGCAACACTAGCACTATCCAGAAAAGCTTGCAACTTACCTGGATCGTCACCTAGTAGCACAATATCGTCTGCATACTCTAGATCAGACAGTCTACCACCCGGAATTAAATCGAAACCGCTATCCTTGCACGAGGATAGGGCTGTTTCAAGAATTAAATCCATAACAAAGTTAAGTAGAACAGGAGAGAGAGGGCAACCCTGTCGAACACCACTTTCCGTGGTGAACTCGGGTGAAAAAGTGCCGTAAGCTCGAACTCGGCTTGGACTATTATTGTAGAGGGATTGTAATATTGAAATTAACTTCTCGGGCACCCCCTTCAGGGAAAGGCAGCGCCAGAGTTTAGAGCGGTCGACTGAGTCGAAAGCCGCTTTTAGATGGGGGAAAATAAAAATGGTGGGTCTATGAAAGGAGTGCCTATGTTCTAGAATTTGACGGAGTGTGAAGATGTGGTCAATACAGCCTCGACTAGGTCTGAAACCGGCCTGGTTCTCACGCGTACACCGTTTACGTGCGGCAGACAGTCGGCGGAGTATGATGCAAGCGCGAGAAGTAGAGGCAATATTGATTAAACTAATTCCTCTGTGGTTTTCACAAGAAGATCTATCACCTTTCTTGTAGATCGGTATGATGACCGATTCATACCATTCGGCTGGAACCTTTTCCCTTTCCCATATTGAATCCAGGGGTTTTGTCAACTCCAAGACTAACGCTGAGCCTCCTCCTCCTCCTTAAACGCTGATGGGAACAACCCATCTGGGCCGGAGGCCTTATGCCTTTTGAGATACCTTATTTCCCGAGATACCTCCATTTCAGGTGGAGGACTAGCATCAACTGGGAGTAATTCTCCAGTCGAGGCGGAGAGTGAAAGATAAGCTGTCGATGGGGGCCAGTTGAACTGAGCCTTGAAGTGTTCAGCCCAACGGTCAAGACGGTGTTGCTGATCGTGAATCAGTGTGCCATCGGATTCCTTAATTACCTCACTTACGCCTATTTTCCTAGGACCCGTATTCCTAATTAGATGGAACAGGTTACGATTATTACCAATAGCCGCAGCTTTCTCCAGCTCTTTACACTTTTCTACCCATCACTTCTCGCGGTCATTCCTCAGACTCTTAATGAGCTGACGTTTAAGGGATTTGCGCGCTGTGTCGCATGTGGCATCCAGAGGAAGGGTTCTGCGGGCGTCCAGCAGGGCAGCCGAGGTCGATCGTTTGTGTTTTGAGCTTGAAGCAGGGCCCGACGTTGTTTTTATCGATATCTGCATAGCTTCCTTGATTTGCTTCCAGTGTTCATTGAACCCCTCGGCTGGCGGTTGAAATAAACAGGTGATCCGAGAGCTCCGCTTCGAAGACCGATTTGCATGAGTCAATGACACTGTATCGCAGATATCCGTTGTCGGTGGCACTTTGCGGTTGTTTGCCAGGCGCGTAGAGAACTTGGCGTGATCTGTATCCACAGCTGTTGACCAGTAAGAACGGCAGTCTTGAATTGATCCCCTGCAGTGGTAACTGATGGCGATGTGGTCGATTTGGGTCCAGCGCAGTGGTGAGGTTGGCGGTTTCCATGTAAGTCGATCATCATCATCATCGTACAGCGAGATACAGTGAAGCGAGCTTCACTGATTGTTCACAATGTACACAAATCAAATGATGAAGTAAAAGATGGAGAGGGATTGGGCCTACTTGGAGGGAGGCAAAGAAAAAGAACCTCTATGTT